GGCTAGGTTGGCGTTTTCCACCATCAAGCTGCATTTATTGCCTTTCTTCTCGGAGAGCTCTTTATATCAAACTGCTGCCTCTGTCCTTGCTCGTATTCGTTGCTCCCTTGGTGGCATTTGCAACTTCTGAACTGGCGTTACTGAACCCTCCTGCCCTGGGATAAACCTTGGGGCAGCGGCTGCTGGAAGATGCTCTGAGCTGGGAGACTTGCCTTGCTCCAGCCTTGCTTCCCGAAGCCCCTTGTGCCTTTGTGTAGCATCAGCGTTGGCTCTCTGGAGCCATACAGCCAGAGTTTGCGGTGTGGCGATGGGGATGTTTTTTTGCTGAGCCAAAGCGTGCTCTCGGTCGCACCGTAGCGTTTTGGAACGGTGCTGCTGGTGGCGATGGAGCCCAGTGCGCAGCTACGCCGAGGATGAAGGCTGGGCTTGGGTGTTTGTCCTTCCTCCTCTTTCACAGAGTTTGGGAGGGGTTTGGAAGTGGCTGGAAATCCTCTGCCTGGAGAGGGACGGGCAGCTCTCGATTTCATTCAGAAAGTAAAGGTCAGGAATCCTTCCCTTTTCCTCTTGCAGGGGTTTAAGAAAACTTTCTGTGCAGTCAAAACCGGTGCCCGAGTATTTCTTCAGGCACAGCGCAGGGAACAGTGCTGGGGCATGGACTCGGAAGCGGGGTCCTGCATGGGTCGTGGCTTTTTCACTGAAGGCTTTGAGCGGCATTAAAAATTCAGCAGGAGCGGGTAATTTATATTCCAAGAGTGATCCCACTGTGCTGCTTGCAAGGTGTATCAGTATGCAAAATACGGCTCCGGCTCCTTGTTCCTGTGTGCCCTTTCTGCTTGTAAATAGGTTTTATGTCAGTGTGTGTGTCTGGAGATGGATTATTTGAGCTGGATGGGGGCTGAATGTTTTCTGTACAGAGGGTGGTGGCCCCACAGCAGGTGGAAATCTGTGTGATGCTGGTCCTCAGTTGTCTTCAGAAAGAGTACTGCTGGGGGTCAGAGGTATGGGTGTGCGATATTGGTTGCTGTTAAGACTCTCTTCAGCCATGTCAGAGCATCTGACAGACAGTTTGCTAAATCCAAAGGTCCTTTCGATGCATTTAATGGTAGCAGGTGAACGGGATACGGCTGTGACTCGGCAGCTGCACGGTGCTTGGATCATCTGACTTACTCTTTTTGCAGTGCAATTTTTTTCCAAGCCCAACACTTAGTTGCTGTGATAATCTCCTGAGAGCAGCTCTAAGAGAAGCCTCTTTCCACCTCCGCAACTGCAAAGATCACAGAGGCTTTGGTTCGGTCTGTATTTTGAAGCAATACCCACAGAAAAAGCACGGTTTGCTAAAATTTGGGTGTTTCCATGCACTAGTGCTGCTCGTGGGTGCTCCATGCAGCTCAGGAGATTGCGTCGATCCCAGTGGCCGTGGCCCAAGTCTAAACTTAACCTTGATGGAGGGATGAAGATAGTTCCTTTATCTGATTACAAATGAGGAAATACATGTCTTAAAATAATTAATGGTCCCCGAAGAGTATCTTTTTATTAGCATGTATGTGTGTGAAAGCCTCCAGTCTATTAATACACAGTAGTTTCCTCCTCAGAGTCAATAGAGAGAACATCTCTGGTCTGCAGGAGCATTTCTGTCCCACAGCACTTGTTTGCATGGAGCGGACATGATGGGGCAGGACCGCGCTGGGTCACGCCGTGCGTCAGGAGCCCGGTGAAGCAGGATGAGGAGCCAAAGATCACATTTCACTGGAAAGTTTTCCTTTTTATTGCAATTGCTTGGTGGGGGTGATTTCAAAACCCAGTCAAGCGGTAGCTAAAACAAAAAAAGTCCACACCCAAAAGCGTGTCTTGGACCCGACGGCAGGTGATGTTAGCTGCCAGCTTGCAGCGTGGCCAGCGGTTTGCTGCGTTATCGTTAGGGTTGTGTTTGTTGCAGGAGATGCAGTGGAGCAGGGAGAGGGGAGGTGCGAGGTGATGTGCGCTGCCGCCTGTCCGGCTCGGGCAGGGAGCGTCTGCCTGTACTTGCCGCTGTTCCTGCCTGCTGGCTGCCGCACACCTGGGTGTGTATAGGAGCCTGCTGCAGCAACATTAATCAAAAAAAAAAGGGAAAGATAATTATTCGTGAAGAAATCATAGCCTGTTAACGAGGAACCGTGCTTAACTGCTTTCATGCTGCTCTGAACGCTTGTTTGATCTTTGCTTCCCATGCTGCTGCTGCGCTGTCCATGGCCCTAGAGTCCAGCCCCATGGCAAGCATCGCTATCTCTGCGTCGGAATCAGGCACAACCGAGACCGTGGCAGATAGAAATGCACACCTCGAGTGTTTTTAGTCCCCGTCCTGTGCTTCAGCCATCTGTGGTATGGTGCAGAAGAGCACAAGGGCACTGCCAGCTCTGCCCTGGGGGCCTCCCCAGCACTGGGGGAAGGCTGGAGCCTCCCAAAGAGTCTCCTGCTCCTCATCCTTGGTGGGGCTTTAAACCTTTAAACCTGGCTTAGCTCCCCTGGCTCGGAGGCACGCACTGGGGTCTAAGTGCCTCTCATCCACTGGGCTGCTGTGTGCGTGCTGGTCTCTGGGAGGCTGCTAGCACCCCAAGTTTGGCAGGAGGGGATTTTTCCTTGGGGAATCGGAGCTCTGTTCTGGCAGATCCAGCTTGGACATCGGCGAGGGCAGCCGCTACCCTGCTCCCCGTCGCCGGCTCAACCACAGTAGCTGGTGGGGCTAAAATTGCAGGGGGAGCACTCACAAGAAGGAAAAGGAGATGAGCCAGCAAGGATGAGGTGCTGTGCAGCTGCCAACGGTGCTATGTGCATGCTGCTGGGGACCCATACCAGTGTTGGGGGTCTTGCTGTGAAACACCAGAGGCTTCGGCAGAAAGCATACCACCAGTGTTGCTTATTTTCCCCTGTATCGCTGTTTCCATGTTATTTGGTCCTCGCTTCCACACATCTTCAGTTTGTCCCCCTCTGTCCCCTGTTACGTGCTGACGCTGGCAGCCCTTTTCGGGGACCATCCCCTCCTCTTGTGCTTGTTCAGAGCCCGGTGTAAGCAGCCATCCCTCCTGAACAGGACCACTAGGTTTTGCTGCGTACCAATATATTTGATGCAAGGATTGTCAAAATGCAGAAATGTAAAACTCCCATGGAGCTTATTAATGGCCATACAGCACCACTTTCTGCTTGCTCCTGGAAAACAGCTTGATGTCCCCAAGCTGGCCCCAGCCCAGGGCTCGGGGAACCTCCTGAGCATAACCTTGGGGGTCCGTGTGCTCTAACAGAGGTGTCTGAGCAGCCTCCGGGATCACCGGGGGGGTTTGCAGCCCTGGGGTGATGGGGGCACGTTGCTGTCTTAGTCAACTGGTCCTCCAGCCATCCCGCCCTCCCTTATGCCATGCTCTCCTCGCACGAACCCAGGCTATCCGTAGTACAAATACGTGATCTGGGCTCAGCAAATTACGTGTCATTTTGATGGTCTGAAACGCTTTACTTTTCTATTTGACGGTTTCCATTTGGTCATTGGGTTGCCCACTAAATTGTATATTATAAGCCCACCAATGTCCTGTAAGAAGCTGGAGACTGTACCATGTGCCCTTGGGAACAGTAAATCTTTGGAAAATGTATTGATTCCTAATCCCGGCTTTGCACTCTGGATGAACTTTGTCCTCACAAAATAATACAAGGTGATTTTTCTTTATCAGCCAGCTGGCCTTCAAATGAGCTACTCATAACACCCGTTGCAAGCTCTAATCCAAGTAAACATGGAAAAGATGATTTACGAGCTGGGAAGAGAAGCCATATCAGTTCGTAATGAGGTTTAATGCTTAGCGGCATATTCTCAAATATTGTCGTTAAATATTGCAATTGGGTTTTGTCTGCACGTTACAAGATCAGTGTTTTATGCTCTTCAGATCATGGAAATGGTGGTTTTGTTTGTTTGCATTAACTGCAAGGCAACAAAATAGCGAAACAGGATTAGAGGAGTGATTTGGGGAAAACACTGATTTCTATAATCAGATTTGAGTTGCAATCTGTCTGCTTTTACACAGGAGCAAGTTTATCGGAGAGGATGCCAGGAGGTGAGGCAGAGCTGAGCAACTGCTTGTGGCCGGGTGTGTGCAGTGCTGTATGAGCCCGGCTGGCAGCTTGTTTTTTAATATGCGCTCCTCATTGTGCAGCCTTTAGCTTTTCCTACCTAAAACTACCTAAGAAATAGGTAAGGATCAAGAGGTGTAGTGTGGCCCTTAGGATTTCAGGGCAGGGAGCTCTCTCCTTCCTTGCAGGCAACTCTTTGCCTTGGCTTTTCCCCAAAGGGCTCTTTGTGGGTTGGGAATCAGGGAGTAACTGGGGTGGGATAGGGGCATCCAGGGGATTTCGCAGCCTTAATGATGCTGGAGGGGCTTTTTGTGCCAGACATCGGCGGCCAGTTGGTCTGGGGGCAAGGGCTTATGTGAGATCAACCCTGGGGCTTTAATGAGCCCTTCAATCAAAGCCTTGGTATCTTTGATATAGGGATATGAGTTCCCTTTTTCAAAGGGAGAATTCAGAGGAAACTGTATGTATGTATGTATTTATTTATTTGCCTGAAATACTTCTGTCTCTCCGGATCGCCTTGTGTACCTTACGTGCTTCCAACAGCTCATGCAAGTGCCTGTCCCATGAAACACCTCTGCGCTGGTGGGGTGCAGAGGAACACTAACAATATTTAAGAGTCTAAATTAAATATTCCCTTGGAGTGTTTTTCAGGCAGCACTCGTCCCTTGCCCAGCACATCCACCCTCATCCCGCCGTCTCCCCAGGCAAGTCCCTTAAATCTGTTCCTCTCTCTCTTTGTGCATACAGGGAGTTTTCCGTGCTCGGAGGCTGTTCCTGTGCATCCCCCGAGGAGCCGGCAGGGCCGAGCCTTTCCTGGAGGAACATGCACTGAAAGAGGAGTTTCACCAGACCACGGCTGTCGGTGCCCTTCGCCTGGGCCCTGATGGACTCCGAGGCAGGACTGCATTACCATGGTGATGATCTTAACCAAAAGTCGGGAAAACAAAGGTGCTGACTCTGTAACATGCAGGACTGAGCTGGTAAGCGTCGTGAAATCTTCGTTCAAAACTCTTTTGCTGCCGAGAGCTTTGCTGTAACTTTATTATAAGGGGGTTTTGTGCTGCAGGGCTGGATCTTTAGATGGTTTATATCACTGATTTCTACCGAGCTGCATTAATATCCAAGGAGCAGGCGATCAGTAAATGATTGGAGTGCTGTGGCTTTTGCATATGTGAATTTCAGTAAGCACGCAATGGAATAAACAGCGGAAAAAATTAAAATCAACGCTGTGAATAACACAGGCGAGAAGTTGCTTCACCAACAGCGAACAGATGCTCATCATTAATAGGAGGCTGAGCAAGTGGGGAGCAGGATTAAGTGGGGAGCAGTGCTGTGGTACTTAACAGTCTCACTGGCAGCCTGGAGGGATGCAAATCCAACCACGCCGAATGAGCAAACAACAGCAACAAAAAAAAAAACCCAAAAAACAAAACAAAAACAAAAAACCCCACCAAATTAGGGGCAGCAAACAGCCTAAATGATGCTGGAAGGGGGCGAGCGAGGCTGTGGGGTTGAGCGTACCGACGGCAGTGGGAAATGAGGGGCAGCGCGTTGTCTGGGGGCAGTGTCAGAGCAAGCGAGGGTGGGTAGCAGAGGTGGGAGGAGGAGGTGCAGGATGATGGAGAGCCATCTGAGAAAGCCCAGAGCAAGGCTGGTCATGGACATTTGCTCCTCTGTCCTCCAGGAGAGATGGTCATAGTCTGAGAAGAAATTAGACCGAAAAGCTATTCCTCGCAGGGTGCGCTGAGAGCCTGAGATAAGGGCGTGCAGGAACACGGCAGGAAGCATCTGGCAGGATTAGCCATAAATGGGCATTTTGAGCATATAAGAAATAGAAATGCCTGAGTTTGCTGAGGATGACGAACTGTCCGGCCGGGCTTCCCAGGCAGATAGCGCAGCATGCCAGGGCAAAGGCAGGCTGCCCTGGCAGTATGTGGCAGAGGAGAAGGTGAGCAAGCCAGAGGCAGCGTTAAATCCTGCCTTAAAAGGGTGAAATTTGGGAAGGAAGAATATTGATATATTAGAAGAATATCCTTGCTTTAGTGTTGGCTCCTGCCAGGAAGGCAGCATCTCCCGCGGCTGCTGCTCGGGGTGGCGAGGCGGGAGCCTGAGCATCCGACGCCGGCTGTGGCCCAGGAGCTGTGTGGGGTAGGTGGAGGGGAACTTGCTGCAGAGAGGCAGATGAGAAATGGTTTCTTCTACTGCTGCTGGAAGGGATGGGCACCCGAGCTGTCCGATGGCAGGCAGCGGAGGTGTGGAGCTGTAATGCAAAACTTTGCCCTTGTGTGTTTGCCAGGTGCCTCCCGCAGCTCTGGGGGTGGGTCGATAGTGCAGTGATAGTCCTGGTTACACAAGTTGAATTGCCGGGTTGTCTGAGCTGTTAAATTGGGGCAGATGTTCACAAGAAGTCTGATCCACCAAAGAAAACAAGAGTTTTTCTGTTGACTTCATGGGAAAGGCCAAAAAGCAAAACCTAAAGGAAATAAATGTCCGAGCAGTGGGACAATATCACCTACCAACGTCCGATGGGCTTGTTTGGTTCAGTTCCCAGTTTGGTGTTAAGACGAAACTCTTCCAAAATGTTAATTATACTCAGTATGAGACATATGTCGTCTAAATTCCACATTTGCAGGCAGTAGCTGGTTTCTGGGGTTGGCACATGGATGGGTGCGGGCACAACCGCTGCCTTCTCTGGGGCTTGTCCCACTTCCATCGCTGTTCCACTTTGGCCACTCTTTGGAGGCAGCCACCTGTCCTCGCTGTCTCCTGATTAATTCTACCTGTTGCTTCATAAAGTGGGGCTCGACAGATAGAAATAGCCTAACTTCACCTAGAAAAGTGGCACATGCTCCAAAGAAGGTGACCTACCCTTATTTACCTTCTCCACATCTGCAGCCATCGTTATTTTCTGCCCCCACGTCCCTCTATATTCAATATTTACAATATCCTGTATATGAAGTGGGATCTTTTTGTTGGATTGCTCTGTACAGGCAGGAGTCAGCATTTGGTACATTATTATTATTGTTATGTGAGCAGGCAATGTGTAAAACATGGATCAGGAGAAAAGAGGTGAATCTGGTGGCCTAATGCCAGATAAAAGGCAGCTATGACGGCGCAGATGAACGGGGAGGTCATGCTGGTGCTTCCCCCAGATGATGTAAAGCCACGGTCAGATGGGATGGTGTTGCCAGGAAAGATACTTCAGAAGCAGAATATGGATATTTTGGGGGATAATAAAAGAACAATTAGTGTAAAAGTATGTTTTTGCAGACATAGCTGAAATGGCATGTAGCTGCAGATGACATTGATTTGTTGTATATAAAACTGTCCGTGCCCATTTTTAGAAGTCTGATGATGTCTCTTACGCTGTCAAGAGGAAAATTCTTGGGGAAAAAAGAGTATAAAAAGCATCCAGGATTCTTTTGTACCCATATAGTGGTGTTTTCCCCTATTTTTAGTGCAAATCAGCACAATCCGAATGCAGATTCCCCAGAAGTGCTGGGCTGAGGGCGCCTTGCCTTAGAAACACACTATATGTTTTAAAAAAAAACTAAGTAACTGCTTTGTACCTAGAGGGGAGGCCTTAATGGGCTTGGATGGGGTTCAGATACCGCTGCTGCTGCTTTCTTGCCCAATCCAGAACTACCGCTGAATTGCAGCACCCGGTTTAGTTTCTCCAGTGTTTTGAGTCCCGGAGCTGGGAACCTCGCTGCAGCTATTCCTGTGGGTAAGGACTTAGGTGCAGGAGCCATGATTTGCAGGCTCAGGCCTCAACACTGACTCTCTGCAGCATTTAATTAAATTTGATTTCACTGAGAGAAGGTGACTCTGTCTGTCCCCGGGTCATTGGGACCGTCGTGGGCGCCTGAGGCTCTCCTCCCGGCTGGGTGCCGCATGGCTTTGCCGAGGCTGGAGGCAGGGTGGTTTCTGGTGCCCCGGTCGAATCTGCCAGAAGTGACTAGTTTTTCTGGTTGTTTGCAGCACACTCCAAAGATGAGTCAAGGACCTACCCTCTTCTCTTGTGGCGTGATGGGTAAGTAACAGAAATTTCTGTCCATATTTACTCCACCTCTGCTCCTGCTTCCTTATAGCGATGGGCGGGAAGATGTCCTGACTGGGTGGATGTCTCCAAAAAATGCTCCCCTGCAGACCCCGGCGCGCATCCACCCACCTGCCCCATGTAGTGGGGATGGAGGGGCACCCACCCCACCACCCACTAATGGTGGCCATCACTCCCGTGCCACCCTCCTTCCCAGAGGTGGTTGGCCTGCGCCATTGCCCTTGCTGAGTGAATTGCTTATCTCCTTCCCCCCCGTCAGTGCTTTGATATGTCTGCTTATTTTTAGAGGAACTTGTACAGTTGAGATCATAAGCATTTTGGGTCTGAGATTGTGTTTGAGTATTCAGCCCACGACCGTGGCTCTTGACTGTTTGCACGATGCAAGTAATAAATATCAGTATTATCACTGAAATGTTCTACTTGGCACAAAGTGTTTGGTCAGGCCTCAAACAATAAGGAAAATGTCTTATTTTTGCCTTTGACAATAACCATGGAATAGGATGTTTAATACCTTTCATGTCAGAACTTGGTATCAGTTTTTATGCTGAACAGGCACCAAAATTGATGGGGGATTCGAGCCTTGGCTGGTGATCCTGAAAAACTGATAGTGCTGGAGGATGTGCTGTTATATTGTGCTCTTTGGGTTTTGTGGGGGGGAGCCAGTCACTAGGCGAAGTCTCAAAACCCAATTAAAATTGTAGGTCAAGTTTGAGCCAAGCTACTCGCTATGAAAGCCAACACTTTACAGACAGAAGCTGTCCCTTTTCTTCGTGGACACAACTCTCATTAGCCGTAATGGGAGCCGAGCACATGCATTGACAGGAGATATTTCCCAAGCTCTCTGATGACTCCAGTCATTGGGAGGG